ACGTGTGTGTGTGTGTGTGATTTCATATAAACTATCTTGATATGTGTACTTCATGTATATGTATACACATTAGGTTCAAATCCTTAGCTCACATGCAAGACATGGCATCAGTGACTTCATTAGACCTAAACTGATTTACAACCGATGAGGATCGAGCCCATTAAACATAAGCATAGTATTTTATCACAAAAAGCAGGTTAGAGATGCACCTTATACACTAATGAATCAGACATGTATAAGCTTTTGTGAACAAGAACTCACTAAATCATCTGATGAAGTCAGTTCTTGCTCACAAAAGCTTACACGTCCACATGGGTGGATATAGGATTTCCTCAAGAGGGTGTGGCCCACTGTCCCTCAGTCCTCCAGGATGGAGGCGAGGCATGGCTGGAGCCCCCAGGTCAGCAGTAGCCACCAGGAAGCCAGGCAGAGAGCAGCAAATCAACAGCGAATGGAAGGGGGGGCAGGTATCTGTGGAAGGGGAGGGAGAGGCCAGAGCCACTCCTGCTCTGCTTCAGCTGGTGGCGGTGAGGAGCAGGTGCATAGCATGCTGGGCTCTACCAGCAACACCAGTGGCAGTATGCAGATTCCACCTTCCAGCCTCTGCTCCCTGCTTTCCTTCCACACTTCCCTCTATGGCCTGTGCTGGCAGGAGAAATCTGTGCACCACTGCCACTGTCCCTGCACAACTGCTCCCTGCAGGGCATCCTTGCTTTCCCTCCTTGCCTCCATCATCTGGGAACAGCAACAGCAGCAGGAGAGAATACCAGGTAGCAGAGGACACCAGGTTGCATGGGGGGAGTGGGGGAAGCAAGGCTAACTAACTCTCTCTGCTCAAAGTAGTTTGCTCTAATACATATCCATCCACCAACCAGACATGTCCTTATATGGGTTTTTTTCCTAGTGGTATGAGGAATTCTTTTTTTTCCCCTGAAAATACTTTATTACTAGGCCATATTAGGAGATACAGTAGAATGCCAGACTACCACACTAAGTAGGACTGGCCTCTGTGTGGTTATGAAAACACACTGTTTATTGATTGATCACTACCTATGATGTAACTGTTATCTCTGCATTTTCCTCTGACAATAAAAGTGTAGCAAAGCTTTTGTAATTTTAACTGTTGTATTGGGAGCTGAATTTACAGCAGTGGATCACTACGGAATTTTGCAGCAGTTACAGTGACAGGATAACACCAGATGCCCGCTCCTGTGCAGCAACTATCCTCCCATTATGAAGGGGTTAAAAGGTACGTTTGCCCATAGCCAACAGTTACTTTTTAAAGTACTGTGCTAACATATAAGGGAATTTAAAAGAGGTGTTTTTTCAAGTTTTCATAAATAGCAAGAGATTTCCTGATCAAAAAGGAGCAGGAACTTTAAGAGAAGGGAAGAAACTGCACTGCAGAAAAAATGAGCAGTTGACTGGAAGTGCAGTTGTTCAGCATCCTACTGTAATGTGAAGAAAGGTATTGTTTAAATGAAAAGCATTCTAAGTCATGTAAATGCCAAAAATATTTTAGAGTTCTTAATTTCTTCTCTCAATTATTCTCAAATGCTAAGAAAATTTCTTTTAACTGTTTCAAATATATACAAAATAAATTATAAAAGAGAGCTAGTATATATAAGTATACATGAAATTGTCAGTGCAAAAGATTTGAAATAGGCATTTATCAAAAACTTACAATTGTACTTGGACACATTAATGTACTGTGTAACTTAGGAAGCTACCTCACCCTGGATGAACTAAAAAAGTTATATCACCAAAGTCATACTGTACCTTGGTTCCACAGGAATTTTTCTATCGTCTCAAGTAGAATTTTATAAAAAATTAATGCAGTATTATGGATCATAATTCTCTTGTCTTCTTTATCAATACATAAGTTCCATTAGCATGAATAATAGTTATACAAACGTATCAAGAGAATACTTAAAAAAAATATCAAAATGCAGTACAGTATGGGCAATTTTTTTCTTTCTTTTGACATGTACAAAGAAAAAGGCAGATACTGTCCTAGCTAACCTTGTCTTGCCTACTGGACGTCATATTGTCTTGACAAACAAAATGATACGTTATCTATGATTACAACGACAGGGTCCTATTCAAGCAAAATTTCACAACAGAAGTCTACTTATTTCCCTAGAGCTTTTGTTTTACCTGATGATTGGCCCATCAGATTTTGAGCTTCTTCGGAGGAATGTAAGGGCAGCTTTTCTCCTGAAGAGCAAAGAAGAAAGAGTTTTAATGCTTTTGCCTTCAAGGAGATAAGCAATGTCACTTCAACTAGGAAGCTCAAAATATGATGGACAAAATGGCAGCAACCAACTGGCACTTTTGACCATTGAGTGAAATGAAGATAATGTAAGTATTCTAATTCCCTCCACTATATCTGCCACCCTTATCTACAGTGAAAAATTTACCCTGCAATATTTGTTTTGTCAATAAAGTTTGAGACAAACAGTACTAGCTACAAGTCTGATTGTCTTTGTTTTTAATACACTTCTACAGAGAGATATCTCCCAAGAACCACACTTAATCCCCACCACATTTCATGAAGCACAGTCTAGTTCATACATAGTAGTACTCTTACATCAATATTCTAACACTTTTTTGTGCTTATGAAAAGAACATCCCAGACAGCGATAGACAGGAAGAACTGAAAGGAATTTACAAAGCCTTTGCTGGCTTTCAATCTTCAGACAAAGCTTAACGAATAAAGCATTGTCAAAATGTATGGATGTCTCGCAATGAATAATATCAGCATGTGGTCATGAATAACAACTCCTCTGTGCTAGAAAGGGCCAAGGAGCATTGGGTTTTGTATCAAGTTTGAGTCACTTCTGCATAAATAGCTTGCCAAGCAGGAAGCTGATAAAATGGCTTCTCAAGAGCAGGTAGGTGGGACAAGCACTGTTAACACAAAGAACTGGACTATAAGAAAAAACGGAAACATTAAACTAGTCTCTTAGTTAACTTTTCACCAATGACATTTGCAACTTCCATTTACTTGTCCTATTTATTTCCATTAAATAAAACAAGTTTAGAAAGAGAGAGAAACTCTACAGGTAAGAAGAGAAGGAAATCTGTAAAGGGCATCTGGGTACGTACCAGGGAAAGCGGGGGTGGTCTGTCCAAGGGGAGTAAAAGGGGTTTGCTGCATAGCCAACTGGTGGAGCTTGGTCAACTGCTGAGGGGGTAGGAGGGACATTAGAACTAAGAAGGTTATTGTTATAGAGTACAAGTCACACCAAAAAAATTAAGAACGAAATTATAATAAAAAAAACAGGAAGCCATGTTAAGACATGGCAAACACAACATTAACAGAAGGACTTGGCCTGGGTAAATACAGTAAGCCCAAATCTTTAGCAGAAGTGCTTGATCAGGGTCTGAAGTACAATACCAGCAGCAAGCCCAATTTTGATCTCTGTCTCTAACTGAAATTACTTAACTCCGTCACTACAGATCTCTTCTGTTCCCATAGGCACACAAATAACGTAGCCAGCGCTGACAGAACAGGGAGATATTAATGCTGGTGTGAAGGTGCCAATGCAAATTAGTTCTAGTTGCATCTTGGCTTCTCAGGCTTTGTAACTCACTACAACTGACTACTATGAGCTTAGAATAGATGTAAAATATCTGAGCTGTGTCCAGTCTGCTGCCGGGTCCAGGAAGGTCAAATTCCAATATTTAAGAAATCTTTTTAAGTTCCTGGAATAACTGTAAGAACCATGCGATGACTGACCATTCCATTTTATTACCCAGCAGATGTGACCTTCACTTTACTTGTACACAGCACATTTTGAGGGAAATTTATCTGGCAGGCAAACCAACTGTAGGCCTTAAAGTAGGCTTTTTTAAAATTATTTTAATACAAGCTATCTAGCAGCTTGGCAAAATATGGGCTTCAGCCAACACAGGTAAGTATTTCAGATCCTGCATATCCCTTGTTGTGCTCGGAGTCTTTTCATGGCCCCTTCATAAACAGATCTCACGGAGAAGAATGCTACTGGAATACATTTTGTGCTCAATCACTTCTATTGTTCCAAATTCAAAATTAATGAGGCAGAAATTTCCATCCTATTAAGGCCACTTTCAAGATTTTGCTGTGTATGGAGGAGGGAACATCATGTCTCACGTGCCCCTCGGAGACCTTACAGTGCTTTGGTGGCCTTAAAGGTTTACAGAATCATAGAAATCAGAAATGGAAAAAAAACCTGATAGGCCAATTAATCCAGCCCCCCTACGAGGCATAGGGAGGGAGTTATTTTAATTTTTAAGTGAAATAACATTTGAAAAAACTCCTTACTCCTGCAGCACATCTGAGGAAGGGCGTGCAGGGAAGTCTGATATCAGCAATGGTAAGGGTGAAGCACTGATGGCGGAAGAGTTGGGAAGCTGAAGAAAACAAGTAGGGAGGTGGAAAGGGAATCTTAGAAATGGTATATTTCTGTCAGCTACCAGGGAGTTGGCAGGCAAAACATCAGCAGCACTTGGCATGCAAACTTTGGCAACTTTTTAAAACAAACTGGCAGAAAAGAGAAGGTCAAATTTGAAAATTCCACAAGTCGGAGTTTCCATTGGCTATTCTACCTAATCATAAAGCACTGAACACACCACTTACTAAACATCTCTTCAAGGTTGCACTGATCTAGGGGAGGAGTGTCATTTCATAGACAAGGAGTTCTGTGTACAAATCCCTACGTATCAAAATAGAATAAACCTTAGTATCACACACAACAGGATTCCATCTAAACAACATGGAAAACAAGGTCTACAATGTTATTTTCCTAGGCATGGCAACAAAAAATTAAATAAAAAGAAAATAATTATGAAAAGAAGAATTTTCCTCCCTCACACTAAAATGAAAACCAAAATGCTTTCTTTAGGCTTGTTTCAAAGTTAAAAATATAATTTTCAGTGATTCTGTAGCAATTACATTTTTTTCTTTTAAAATTAGTGTCTATATGCCGAACACTCACTGTGATCCCAAACAGCTAAGGACAGTTGCTGTGCAGTACCTTACAAGATCCACTTCCTCACTACTGTCATTGCCAGACTAGCTTCTCCCAGCATTCTTCGCTCACATGATAAGAGTCCCACTTACTGCTACTGGGGTTGAGAAATGAAAGCTGAAATAAATAACTTAGGAAGCTCAAACCACTCAATAAGACTGCTTTTTATCTGGACAGTCCTTATATATCCATGAAGGAACATTGTTTCATCCAAAGGAATGATTTCAGGGACTATGGACATTATAGCCACTTGGGGCAGAGGAAATTAATGAACTCCTTTCTGTTTCTTTTATTACTGAAATAGATTATTTTAAGAAATATTCTTAAAACAGACTTTTAACAAATGCATACCATAACATGAAAAACCTCAAAAGGAACAGGGACTTCATACTGAGGCATTAGGTTAAAGTTGCTAAAACCAATGCCTCGACTGTCTAAAACATATCTGGTGCGGCTAATTTGTGTACCCTGATGGGCTGGAGGGAGCTATAAAAGTTCTAGGATGTAGCATTTATTCAGACATATATTAGGTACAGAGCTGCCATGATTGGAGATCACTAGTTTTTATCAGTAAGCAGTTGTGCAGAATAACGGTAGCCATCAACAAAATTTCTGTGTATGCCTTACTAATGAACAATTGGCAAAGTGGTACATGGCTCAACACATACAATATTAGGTTCCATCAAACTGCACAATTTCCTATGCTCTTCATATGACTGTTTCTCACCCAAATACCCATGAGATTCCTCATCACTGCTCACTGCCTTCCCTTCTCCCACTGCAGATTTCAAATGAAAACTTGTCTAGATGTTAACATATCTCAACCTGCAGATAAACACACAGGAACAAACTTGTCCTAAGAGTCAAAGCTCCCATTGACTTGAGTGAGAGATTTAGTTGAATGAAAAATTAGAAAAATAATTTAAGATTTTACCCCAAGTACTTGAATTAATTTTCATTCCTTTAGCTTACTTTCAGATTTCCAGAACTATTATTTTAGGAGTCTCTAAAAAAGAAGAGGTTCAAATATACAAATATCTGTTGTAGAAGACAAACATAGAACATTTTCTGTCATATTCTATTAATTCAATTGTTCAACACTGTTTTAATGAACAGAACTTTGCAAGAGAGAGAATTATACAGCCAAAGCATTCAGTCTTCTTTCAGGCAACAAATGAAGTCTCACCATATTTTTCAAAATAAAGCCAAAGTATAATGAACCAGAACCCAATATTCTTTTTCTAACACTGAACCAGCAAATAAATATTCCTACAGTACAGCATACCATAACATGTTTTATTCCTGTAAGAAAGAGAAGTAGCATACCAAGAAGCAACACAGTACAAATTAATGCTGGGATTTTTTAAGAAGGAAAATTAGAAGAAAGAGTAAATTTGTCTGGCTAAAAAAGAATACATCTTTTTTTTATTTACGGTCTACGTAAGAGAGAAATTGAAATGTATGAAGCAAAAAAATAGGAAATATTATGCCAAACTGTCTAAAATGTGTACACTGAAAAATTATGACTTACATTGTGCTCTCTGTTACACTAGATAAATACAGCACCTCTAAAAATTGCCTTAGCTATATTAAATGCCACTGTTAGTGGTTTGCATTAATATTGTAGGAGCACAGTTGCCTATGGTTTGTGTTTGTAAGTCCCCATATTTTCTCACATCCCACATGCCCCCAAATAAGACACACACCTTCTTTAGGGAAGGCAGAATGAAGAAATAAAGATTTTTCCAGATGAATCTGACCATAGTGATTCTTTAACAACATGAGATTCACACTAGAGACTTTCAATACAAAGTCATACAACATGCAATGGTGGCCATTAAGTCTAAGATTTTCAGAGGGACGTGAGAAAGTTAGGAGCCTGAACCTCACTAAAAGTTACTGACAGCTGGGTGTCAAACTCCTTTCACAGTGCTATTGAAAACTCCAGCATTTCCACAATTGCCAACAGTTACCATCTACTTGATATGAAGAGATTTCTGTAATTTATCCCTCTATTTAACTGAGAGTTAACTGTGTTATATGCTGGGTTCTTAATGGCATCTGTTATATAAATAATGTAATGCACTGCATGCCAACATCACAGGAATGGGATGACCTGTTCAGGAGGTCACATCCCCTAGGATTGTATGGTGATGGTATAAAAGATGTGACGTGCACATGCAAGGGGACAGATATGAGAATTCCCAGGAAACCTTAACTCTGGCTTTTCTGAGCCAGAGCCTTAGCCCACTGGAATTATACCAATTTATATTTGGCCTTCTAACATCTATGCAATTGAAATCTCCACCTTCTCATTGTAGTAAGGTATGCTTTTGGTTTTACTTCTTGGCAGTTTTTTAAAGATAAATTTGTACTTTTTCTATTTCTAAGTATTTTACTGTAATATGAAGCAGTGTTTGTTTATATATTTTCTTCTTCAAAAAAAAGATATTCTTTTAATGACCCGGTTCACTCCAAAATAAATAGAAACAGTTAACAAACGTGAATTTTGGCATGAATGGCTAAAAATTGCAAAGACATTAGTCTTTACAATATGGATAGTAGAAACTACACAAAAACCCATGTGAAATGAATATCTATCAAATAAAAGAATTTTTTTCATTTGTGATGAATCTACTCCAACAGGAGAGTGTATCAAAGCTGTTATCAAACAAAAGGACAATTTGGCATTCAGTCAATGCCAGAAGTCAATAAGCACTAGCTGGGTATACAAAAGGTGCATCTACATGAGACGTTTACTGTGGAGTTGCCTAATTAGCTCTGCAGTAATGTCTGAGCATCTACAAATCTATTAAGCCATAGTTTCTCAACCTGTGGTACATGGGTACCCCAGGCAGGGTACCCCTGGCAGGGGGTACATGGGTACCCCAATACACTCTATCTTTCTCTTGCCCTCTTTTCCTCTCTCGCCCCTTCCCCCTCTCAAAACTATGGCAAAAATGTTGGTGCACCATGCACTGTGCAGCACTTTAAATTCCCCAGTAATAATTTGGAGTGCTGCGCTTTGCACAGCACTGGGTTCAGCCCTCCTCACTTTGGCCAACATCACCTCTAGCCCAGGTACATACGTGAGTTGTGCACCCCTGGTGTAAAAGGTGGCAACCCTACCCACACCAGATCAGACATCTGTCATATCATGGCCTTCTATACACAGCCCTTCTTCCAACATATGGCACAAATTAGTCTGTAAATATAAAATCCCTGGGAATGCCCCCAAAAGATACAAATCTCCATATTCCCTTCCTCTCTCAACCAAGTACTATATTTGGCCTATATTTTTTAGTATTTAAACAGGGGTATTAGAAGAATCAGGCAAATAAATACCAGAACAGCTCCATTCTACCAGTCATCTACCCAACATTTCTGCAATTGTCAAAGCACTGCACAAAAATTATTGCACTCTATAGAAAAAACAGTCCTGGTGCCCAGCACTGTAATGTAGCACTACCTTGGTACTACCTCATGAGGGAGAGTTTCATATCCTGAATCACCATATTATTTGTTATAGCTCCAAGGGGCACCACTTTTATCTGGAAGTTTTACATCCAAGCACTCGTCATGGCCAATCTTCGGAGGTTATGAAATCCAACAAAAGCACAGCATAAGATGATGTGACCCTCACAATACACTTGCAGATGGATTGTAACATAAGTATGATATAACCATTACATTATTAGGATCAGTCATTTATGACCCTCAGAGATTTATCCCAGACATTTCTGACCTTGTACACGCAATACATACTCACTGGATCCAGTCCCTGACAACAACAGTTTGGCAGGCATAGGTAAAACGAATATGCCTGTATTGTGACTTAATCATCACTTTAAGAGAACAAGGTCTTTCCCCAATCCTAATATTGGCATAGACCAGCTCAGAGAAGCAGCTCTCTGAAATCAATGCAGCCTCTTTGGTCCTAAAACTTCCAGACTAGCAAACAGAGCATAGATAAGGAGGTGAAATATTATAACTATATATTTTTCCATGTCTATATCGAGATATGTAGCTACAAAAGTGAGTTCAAAATATTATTTGATCTTTACGTTTGACAAAAAGATTTACTTAAAATTAAAAACCTGGTGGGTAATTTCTGTCATCTTTTACATTTTTCCTGAATTTTCTACAAAAAAGAAACTTTCAGTCTCTGAAACTATTTCATTTTTTAGCTTTTTCCATTTCCTGTGTCCTCCACCATTTTCTCCAGTGAAATAAGAGGGAAAACAAAGAACTGGAGAAGAAGTGGGAAGGATGAAAAAAGCCAAACATCAATTTTTTTAATTACCTGCCCCCCACCTCCAACAAAATAACTGGATTTTCAAAGGCCTTTTTCTTTAAAAAAAAATATGAAAATGGTGACATTTTCCAGAGAGAGATTCTAAAAATAACTAAATGTTTCATAAAACACTATTAATCTTGTGCAATTGTTCCTGTCCTCTACTTCAACACCTGCCATGCCCTGGCCATTGGAATGCTCCTAGATAGTGAGCTTTGGGAATAAATCAAACTGCCTTTGCTAGCCTGCAAAATGGACTGTTTCTCACTGCAGAGAGCAATCAATTTGCTTCCCAGACAACACTGGTTAGGTATGAAGGATATTCTCTGGAACAACAAAGTGAGAACTGGTAAATGTTTCTTCATGCATTGCCAACCCAGTCCCATTTTCTCTGACTAGTGGAATCCAGTGGTGAATGCCTGTGTCTTTAGGGGCAAAGAACTCTAATGTGGCTCTAAAAGAGTACCTATTTGCCCAGCTCTCAAACATACTATTAGCTGGCTCATCTTTCAATTGTAAAACCTATGACAATCATCAAAGGTCTGCCACTTTTCTCTTCTGAAAAAGTTGTGGTAGTGAGCAGCCTCCTCAGGATAAGAACAAAAGTCAGTTATTTGTGCTAGTATGCCTAGATCCTGTCAATGATTTAGATGCTACTGACTACAAAGGGTTGCCAATTTGTCTTGGAAGGACTGGACAAAGTGGTTGAAGTGGTTCCACTCAATTTAAGATAGAATTCAAAGGGTTGTATTATGTAATTGCTTCTTCTTATCAATGGGGTTAGCCATGGCATCCCATGAGGGTCCATTCCATCTTTCCCCTTGTTCAATGTCCATGTAAAGCCACCAGAGAAAGTCACAAGGAGCTATGAACCAACGCATAACCAAGAAGCCGAGAACACAGAGGTCTGCATCTCCTCTTCTTTGAATCTACATTAGATAATTTCCTGGCTTTCTCAACTGAAGTTTGGGCCATGGAGGAAAGCTAGCTAGTTTAAATAGCCCATCAAAATTGGGATGCCAATGGTAAGAGTGGGCCTCAAGCCTGAGATCTCAGTAGATTCTTTCCCACTCATGGACTCACGGAAAATAGTATAGCAGAAGTGCTTCCTTTCACTTCAGGATGGCAAAGAGGCTGCTTCTTTTCACTGGACCAGTTTTGTCCATCTTTCTTACCTCAACAATAAACTATAGCCTGGTGTACCTGGGGTTAACCCAAAAGAGGTAACCTTCAGCAAACTTCAGCTAGTATAAGATGATGCTATTGATCACTGGCTAGGCCAGAATAAAGAGAAAATAATATTACACTTGCGCTCTGTCCACTGCCGTAATTGGCAATTCACTTCCAGGTGAAATTCTAGACGTTGATTGTAACTACAAAATCCTCAGTGGTTTAGATCACTGTTATCTTAGAGATGACCTCTCTTGGGTCTTACTTAACTATGTGTTTCACATGCTTCTGCCAATCATGAAGTCCATGGAAGACAGGGATTCTTCCTTTCACAGGTTGTTCTCTATAAAATTCTCTCATACCAGAGACATCTTAGAGCCTAAGTTTGGCTTCCTATACAACACTTTAAGATGCAACTCATAGAAATACAGATCTGGAGTTCAAACCACCTGTCTCACCAGCTTCAGTCTTCAAATTCAGCTAGGAGTCTTGGGAACTGCAAGCACACCCCCTCAAGTTTCAAAGAAGTGGTAATGTACTTAACCTAATTTATTGTAGTATAGTGCAGACTGATGCTACAGTGAGAAGTGGGCTTCTCATGCTTCTTCATTCACATCCCTAAGGAACTGAAGCAAACAGGTAGGCCAGACAATCCATGGGGCTGTGGACTGGGTTATTTGTGGAGGTTGTAGCTATACATGGGATTTCATGTACTGATCCTAATTTTGTTTGGGGGAAAACACTAAAGAAGCTGCCAAAGAGGCATACTGGTGAAGGCTGCAAAGGGGATGTGCCCTTTGCCACCTGTACCCAGGTTTATATCACTAGAAATAGGCATCAAGAAAAAAATAGTTTAACTAAGAAACAGCAGCCCTTTCTTCTCCTTTTCTTCACTCCTGTTCGCCACCAGACTAATACTGAGATCACCAGAACAACCAGAAAATAGCAAGAATACGCTATAATTACCTACATCCTTTCCTACTGATAAATCATGCACAACAGAAAGCTTTGCTGACTGACTCATTGCTAGGCAACTTTTGGGGTCTCACCTCTATGTTATGCCAAATAAGATGTTTGTTCCCATTCACCAAACTTAGCATTTTATAGTCTGTGCTTAAGCTATTGAACTATTTTGTTTTGAAAAATGGGAAGAATTCAGCATCATCAGACATACAGACTTCCTTTCCAGTAAAACTGAGACCATATTTAATGACAAACTTATAGGAAGGCACAGCTCTGAAAGCAAAGTTTTTGAGACAGCCATAATACCCTAAGTTTTCAAATACATCTGCCTTTTCACATTAGCACCTAGATAAGTCATTGTATGCATTTGATTATCAACATTTAATGAAGATGAGGCAGTAGAGGTGAAAAACTATTTTGACCATTCTCTAAGGCACAAAATGCATATAGGATGTATATCTTAGTAAAGGGATAGCACTGAACAATACAGTAATTTAGCATCAGGCCAAGTCCTCAATATTAATAAAGTTTAGTGCTAATAGGTTAAAGGCTATTCAAGGTATTATAGATACTACACATGGTCAGTTACTTTGAGAATACAGTATTAATATTATTGTGTAATATTAATATTAGTAGTAATTAACAGAAGCATGCAGGTGACATAGAAGAGTAGAATGGATATAAGAAAAATTAAGGTAAAACTCACATCCGGGTGTGGAATAGCGTATTGTCCCTGAATTGTATAGGCCTGCAAAAGAAAAAAATATATATTATTAGACTTTACAGCAGCATCCAGTTAAGTCCTATGTCTCACTTGAGGCTTGTTTACCAAATTATTTTTCCTTTCAATAACCCATATGGTAAAACAGAGAAGGTGTTTTGATTTTTTGACATGTACAGTCACATATAAATTAAGCCAGATAGGGCAACCTCACCCTTCTCCATAGTACCCTAGTCAGTGTCAGTGTTAAAATTGCTCCTATTCAGTTCCTTTCAGCTGTAATTCTTTGGAATGCCAACTATAAAACACTCTGCTTTCCAATCCAGACCACTGGACTGAAAGAACACTGCTAACTATAGTGTCATGAAAATAACATGTCTTCCCTCTTAAAAAGGTTTCTGTAACAAGCAGCAGCACTGCTCAGTAAAAAGACCCAAAACGGTCCTTTAAATTACATAATTATAATTTAATTATTTAAAATACAGCTTTTTAGCAAGCCTACAGAGAAATCCCAAAATGCTTCTGTTTGGATTACAGGATTTCTAATTCAGCATTCAACACTAAGCCAGAACTACAGAATTGCTACACAGTACTTAAACCCAACGCACACTTTGCTGTACAAGATTTTTGAACACAGTTATGTTCGGGAAGCCCTACAAATACTTATCAGCAGCTGGTTTGCTTAAAAAAACTCTTTGTAATGTGATAATTTCCAACCTCTCATTGTGATCTGATTACATCTTTCTAAGAAAGATTTGGATGATCAGAACATTGCTGGGACTGTACTGGATAGTACAGTGTGTAAAACTAAGTGATTTTAGTTCCAAAGAACATCTTAAGACCACACATAAAAAGCACATTTGTTAAATGAATGGAAGTTTTAAAGTGATTGACTATATTCTCTTTTAATCTCCATACCAACTTCACAGGGCACAGTAAGCCCTGTGACTATGACAGTGGAGTCACAATCATGGAAATATTTTCATAGTAAGTGAAGTAATTTCATCACCCTTTGATTTCATGTTACACTAGAAAAACATATTGCATGTTGTTTGCAGGAGTTATGGCTCTATTTTGCATCTGCTGGGTATGTGCAACACAGAAGTTCCTTGTGGCAGGTGACAGACAGTCTATATGCAGACAGGCTGTGGAACTAAGACCATTAAAATTCAGACGATAGAGACACTTCCGGAGTACATATAAAAGCCCTTTGGACTACATTTTCAAACATATTTCTGAAGGCTCATTTTCTTCTATGTGGAGACCATTCTTTTATAACATTCTAACTTTAATTTAAAAATTGCACAACTGTAAGCAGGAGTTGATTTGATCAGCCTGGTCCCATAGGGTACTAAGCATCTGACAAGAACTCGGTAACCTTGTGTTAGGGGTACTTGGTAACTTTTAGGACTGGACTTTCTAAGTAATTGCCCTCACTATAATAAATGTAGTTTAATGGAACTGCACTGTGCAAAGTTATAAATGTCAGCCATAGATAAGCAAAGATGCAGCAGACAACTTTGGAGCCAATATTAACCAGGCTCTGAATCTGACAGCTTTCAGCTATGCTTATGGCCTGAGTCTTACAAAGCATGCACTGAATTTACCCACTTCAAAGTCCATTAATTGTTTTTATTTTCCACCCACTCATGATCCATACTTGTAAAATAAATAGGTAATTCAGAAAACATATTAAGAGTGCAGACGCAGGGTCCTTACTTTAGACAAAACTTCTATTGGTAACTGCCAGCAGGACTGGATCCTTTATCCAAATGAATATTCATTTACACTGCCAGATATTATGGCTGGGATTTAAAAAGATGCACAAGGAGTTTGGACAGCCTGTTTCTATCCAAATTAATGGGCAGCTCTTAAATCTATTATTCCATAAGGCAGTGTTTATAAAGAAAGAAAAATAATCCAGCCCAGGGTCCAGCTGTGACTGGGACAGCTGAAAAAGGTTTAATTCAGAAAATGGAAGAGATTTCTCTGTTCCCAGTACTGGCTTCAACAGACGGAAACTTCCCTCTCAGGATCATCACAAATAAAGGGATCCTATGCTCTGTTCAAATGAACACTAGTTAAAAAAAAAAAAAAAAAAAAAAAATCACTGAAACAATACATGTGCATATTTTTCATCAGAGTAAAAACAATATGGTTTTTCAGCCTGACAGAATTTGCTGAGCTGTGCAGTTAAAAAGTTTAAACAAGTGCCTTTATATAAAGAACATGCATACAGTCATTGATTAACATATCCCATGAGGTGCAGAATTAAAAATGAAGAGATTGCTGGTATTCACCATGGTGAAACCAGGTAAGTGAATCAGACTCAGGACCAGTGATATCTGTGATGTAGTCATTGACTTTTGCAAAGGTAACACAAATACCTACTCAAACATTGTGGAAAGTAACACAAAGCAAAGTGGATTTTTTTCAAATATTTTGTTTTCTATTATAAAATGTGCAGTTTTTATACCTTGCTAAATCTACACTTACCATAAAGCCATATTAAGGTGAAATGTATTTCTGTGCAGGAAGCCAATACAAGGCATGTATGCCACTTACATCTCCCTTATGCCCTCAAAATAGTGCATACATTACATTTAAGTGATATATGAGCCTTGTGCTTACTGTCTGCATTACAGCAAATTTCCCTCTCTATATCCTTGGGATCTAGTTTGGTATTTTCAAGGGATCTTGGATTTTTATCAAAGCTTTAATATATTCTTTTTATCCCCTCAAAAATAAGCACTACAGATACAAACAGCCATCTACCAGAAACTCTAGTATCAAAGAACTTATTGGGTTATCTTTGTAATCAAAACATTTTCAGATGATTCCAAAATAAATGGCATAAAAGATGGATAACAGTTTGTAAAGGGAGAGTAAAGACAGCACAGAAAAGAAAATTTTTGAATGGTCAAAAAGTTACAACATTGCTCCAAATCAACAAGTTGGTCACTTCAGTGATATCCCTAGATTGGCTGGGTGAAGAACAACAAGAGCAGAAAGGTTGGAAACTAAAAGGCAACAAGCATTTTTTGTTGTTGTTTGGTTTTCATTTCTGGAAGCAAAATTCTTTGACATTTAGAACATTACCATTTCTTAAGGCACATTCTCGATGTCCTCAGTCTCCAAAGGGTTAAATTCCCCACTCATATCTTTTTCGCATAAAGTATAGTAATAAGGAAAGCTGATTGAGGCTGTTCTCTCAAATGTTAAATTTTCCTTTGAATTTCAATTTGATATTTTGATTAATTGTCTTTTGGAGGTCAGACTTTGAACATTGTCCGTTGCCATCTACAGTTTACAGCAACTGATTACAAATAGGATCCAAATGGATGATAAATTATATTCTGTATTCAGTAATATACTTACTTAATTCTAGACAGGTTTCACTGATTACAGAAATTTAAAAGAGTAGGACAATAAGCATAACATTCAAGAATATATTTAAAATAAGTCCAGCCTCTTGGGGATATTCTACCGAATGTCTTCCTTTAAATGCAGAGTTACTTACAGATATGAAGGTGTCCTGATGAAAGTCAATGTTCTTAAAAACTGACATTACAATTCAGTAATTGCTTTTAAACAAATCAGCATTTCCCAACACAATTTCAGATACTGCCAGTCAAAAGCACATGGAAAAAACCATGGCATCTTACTTTGGGTAGATTTACATGCAACTTTCTGTGCTTCCATTGACTTAACCCACCAATATGTTTGCTCAAGTACCCCCTGACATTATGATATAGCATATCCTTCTGAGTCCTGGAGCTACGTTATATGGATAACTCTATTGTTGTGATACTGGAGGTATGCAGTCAGTCACGTCTGAGGCTTCCCTTCCCAAGAAGGGACAGAAACCATGGCCCACAAAGGCTTAGGTCTTGTGCCACCTGTACAGAAGCCAGGGCATGTATACAACTCCTAAAATAGCCACATGGCCCCAGGCTCCACAGAACCTGAGCTGCTCCTGGAATCCTGCTCAAAGGTCAGGATGGCTTTTGGAAGCATGGAAGGAGAAGCGGTGCAGTAAGTTATTAAAGGGTGAGTGCACTTGTACTACTTTGCCTTGTGACTAGTACACAGTCACTGCATAAGCTCCTGGCCCTTCTCTCCAACTACTTTCAACTGCTGTTGATTCCCATGTAGCTCCACGGGGAGCATTTGCTATCTGTAACAGTCAGTGACTATGCTCAGGGTGCCTCAGGTTGAGGGCAAGTAGGGTGGGGAAGCAGAAATCATTGCTCACACGATATGTGGGGATGGCGTACAAACACCAGGAGCTTGGGAATAAGTGAGTTAGGAAGCCTTGAAAGAAAATGGTGGATATGGAAGATTGGGAGAGCTGAGACAGGTGGCCATGTATTGTGGGATGGGAGAGCCTGAGACAGTTGGCTGGATGTTGCGAGGAGGGTTAGGATAGACTGGGACTGAGAGATGAGAAGGTTGTTAGCAGAATAGGAAAGCCTGCAGTAATTAAAGGTGTTGCCCGGCACTGGGAGAACTTATGGCAGGTAAAAAGGGTATTTTGGGGAGAATGGGAGCAATTTAGGCTGTTGGGAAACAGATTAAACCAAGGCATCCTGAAGGAATTAGTGGTATTTGGTAAGACTAAGACAATAAAGTTGCTTGCGTTGTATTGAATGCCTGATGTTCATCAATGCCGCAGCATACACGGGGAGAATGAGAAACTGAGGCAGCTAGGGGGCATTTCTTCTACATCACTTGTTGTTCCAGGCATAGAGCAGGGGCACTTGCCCTTTATCTTGGATACAGGAGTCGTACAATTAAATAGGACTTTCTCCTATTCAAAGGACAGAGAAAGCATTTTTTGGGAAAGAAGCTAAATATTTAGCCCAGCATTACAAGGTGTGAAAAACTGATACACACTTGATCTGAGCCTTCAAGAGGCCAAGAAGCGATGTAAATCAAACCCAAAGGACAAAACAGTATTCCATTTTAGAGCAAACAATGAGAAATGTCTGAACTGTAGAGGGTTATTTCTGCCCTGAAATAACTTCTGTTCAAGACACCAACACGTTTATATCAGGGACAAAACGTTTCTTCCATCTTACTCTCCCTTGTAAGAAGATAGTTACTTGAACAGCTGGACCCAAAGCGCTTTCATGCAACTAGAGTGAATAAATGATGCAATGAGTACTTATCTTGATTTTATTGACTAGTAAGAGACAGCTACAAATGCAACATTCTGTTATCAAAGCATGTGTCTTTTCCATGTGTTTCAATCATGGTTTATATTTCTATTTATCATGGTTCAGGGGACAAGAACCCTTTAAGCATGTCGTCTTGGAAGAAGTTGTTAGATATTCAGCTACTACAAAGCAAGGTGTTAAGTAGCTATGACTCCACTTGAAAGCAGTGGCACTGGTTGGTGCTCATTCCCACTGAACACCAGACCTTGTGTGTCCAAGCTGGGTGTTCAGTCCTTGAAGCACACAATTACTGAAACACCTACAAACGGATATTTCTGAAATTATAGCTAGATATATTTCTGTCTTCTTTCAGTCTGACCTGAAGGGAAGTTAGTGCAGACCTGGGGGCATTCCCTCTTCTAATTAAATTATTAGGTACTACAGTGGTGGATAGTGAAAAAACCCAGAGATTTAATTAAAGAGATGACTGAATTAGATAGATAAAATAATTACCAGCAATTGGCAATAAAACACCTGCAAGATGAGTTTCTGAATACTACCCATATATATTTCTGAAAATGCTTTGAATGCTGATCTTCTCTCTCTGCAGTAACTAAAATCATTTTTGTAAGCCAACTAGAAACCACTTCAAGGGTTTTACACAACAGGTTATATTTCCTTAATGAAACTGTTTTTTAAAATGACTTCAGTCAGCTGGTGTAATATTGGCATATAGATTTGGCCTCTATCAAATCAATTTTAGAGCTGAGCTAAAAGAATGATGTAAACTAGATAATGTGGGGTGTTCTTTGATGGTCAGTTTGTGACAAAAGGTTAAATGAAAAGTATCAGATAGAGATAACATTTGCCCAATTGTTTTTAAAGGGGATTTTAAAAACCATATAATTCTTGATAGGAGTTTTAATAAAAACATGCCTTAATTATCTGAAACAGCGTAAGCATCCAAAATTAATTCTGTATGCAAATTTCTGGCACACCTACGTGTGCAAGTTCTGTGGAAGGGGAAGACTATTCAATAAGGAAAACAGAGTTCAATTTAGCTTGCAAAGGATTATGATAAACTACACTTAACTACGAGCCAAACTCTGCCTTGGCTCACCCTGTGTGCACTCAAGAAAATGCAACATTGTCTGTTATTTAACAGTCTGTCCATTAGAAATAATGTACATTTCCTTGTACATCATTATCTTCTGATATGTGTGTAAGTAATTAAAGTTTTAATATAAGGCCCAACCCTTAAGTCTGTACTCAGCCAAACCTTTAATGAGTGGTGTTCCTCAGTGGGACAAAGGGTGTCTGAAAGTAGAAACAGACATCACCTACATTTTTATGGCAGCACAAGTGGTGAGCAAGTAGCCAACCCTAACCCTTGTTGTACAACATCTGTGGCCACAACAAAAGATAGTGCTTCTTTATTGCAGCAGAGGTCTACGTGCTTGGTAGCAGAAGAGCGCAGGCAGCCCGGAGCTGCGCACACTCTCCAGCCACCCAGGCAAGTGCTCCAGGGACCTGAGGGACGCAATGCTGCACACCCTGGGAATTCTCATGCGGGACTGGGTCCCACTAGCCCCAAACCAACTGCCCAGCTTCCGCCACTTAGAGATGAACATCAGGGAATGTTGGGGCACCTTTCTGTACACAGGGAAAGTCAGGGTTCTCCACTTCTGGATACTCACCCCAGGATCAACAAGGGCACATCTCCATTAGTGGAGAAAGCCCATGCAGGTCCCGACAAGAAGGCATGGGACCCGGGGAACCCACAGCACCTCATACCTCCCTGCAAGGACATGCGATAAGTCCCACACTGTCCATGCTTCACAAGGAGGCATTAAGCAGTGCAGGTCCTGGCAAGGAGGCCCAGGGTGGCATGAAACCAGGGAATTCTCAGCATCCTGTGCATCCACGCTGGGACCTATGCTGACCCATGCCTCTTTATGAAGCTCAAGTCTGTGTGGGACCCACAGTGAATCTCAGCATGAAAGCACAAGATGCCAGGAATTCCCCTGCTGCCTTGTCAGGACCTGCACCAACTTATACTTCACATGGAGCATGGGTCGATGCGAGTCCCAGCATAGAGGCATGGGGTGCTGGGGATTGCCAGGGTCCTGCAATACCCTATGCCCCCAGGGCCCTGTACCAGGACCCCACTGACCTATGCCTCTATGTGAAAAACCTTGCACCTCCTTGCAGCACAGGTCCCAGCAAGGACATGCAAGGCAGCAAGGGACATGAGCAAGAAGAATGCATCACCTTTTGTCCCATCAGGGGTCCGATGAGGGGCAATGGACAATTTATGTTTCAGACAAGAAAGTGGATCAGTTGTGGCAAGATGCATCCTGCCACAGCTGATCCACTTCATTTGGCAACGTCTGTTTATACCCTGAATTCTGTGAGTTGTGCTGAGCACCTTGGTTCGGAGTCAACAGGGAACAAAGTGATTTTTTTCCATTGATTTTATTAGGAACTGGATCTGCCCCTGGAAGAGCAGAGGCACTCAGTGCTACATTTGAATGGCACAGAGATTCTTTGCTTATGTCATCGCATTTTAGAACCTGTGTGAAATGTTTTTGAATGAATCTAAAACTGCTAGAAAATGAATGTATTTAATGCATTCAATGAATAACCTTTTCTCACATCAAACATAATTAAAATGGATAATTTTCAACAAAAACTGGGTTTTGTTGTGCATTAGCAGATGAAATGCTGGCCAAAAATGAGCAGAACTGTAAACCAAATTAGGCTAATTTTTCAGCTAAGGTAGACTGGCAACAGAAACTGGCAAATGTGTGATGCTTTAGACACAGCCCTAATTTTAATGGTCAGAACACATTCAAACCAGATTCCAATTCCATATCACCCTGCGCTAAGAGCCTGCAAGTACTTTGAGCTTGAAATAAAGCACTTAATCATGCGCTGAATACCAGCTCCTTAAACTGAGTATGGGTGAACTTAAACTGAGTCTTTGCTGGATCAGGGTCACAGCACTCAGCACCTTAGGGTCATGCTGTATGTTACACTTAGGATGTGTTAACTTCACTTAAAACATGAGCTTTTGGGAAACACATACTAAGTGCATTTATATTGTACCAGTTACAGCTTTTCATGGGAGTATCTCCACATCTTAGCTATCATCAGACCACTTCACAGATCTCAGCTATTGTCAGGCTACTTCTTAGAGATAATATGAGTAATCTAGCAGTCGTGGGATTCAGAGGCAGGAGTAGCACCTTCCAGGCTTAGCTCCCCATGTCTCCATCTGCCTCACCTGTAGCAGAGACCCAGGTTGCCTCAGCCTGCCAGGAGCAGATGCTGCCAAGCTGGGGAGTGTTGGGCATGTGGTAAGGAGGGAGGATGTGGGCTCTGGGAATGGGGGTTGCATGATCTCATGGGCAGGCATGTAAGCTGGTGCTGGAGTCAGTGCCTGGTGTTGGAGTCAGTGGCTGCAGGGCATGCACAGGTGGCTCTAGCCCTGTCCAGAGCAGACTGAGATCATAGTAACTATTGCTGTGTAGCTGTTCAGAACACACTCTGACTTTCAGTCCAGCATGGTTATGCTTACTGTGATCTCAGATAAAGCACTTGCTTAGTATCCTGTGCTACAAGCCCTTACCTTGCAGGAGTAAGATGTTAATGTGGTGAGATTTGTAATCCAAAGTGAGTGCTGATTTGCTGCTGTGGATAGTCAGTCTCTTCCTAGAATGCATGAAAGTGAGAAGCATGTTTTGCAATTAACTTCAGTCCCCTGCAAATTGGCTGGAGGAAGTAGTTTCGAAATTCCCCTATGGATGGATGGAGAAGTGAAGCCAATTTTTCAGGCAAAGAAACAATCAGCAGTTTTGCAAAGAGCTTTAAGTCCAGCTGCTATGGCACAATATGAATGGGATGACACCATGCAAGTGAGAAGGCGAGAAAACCTGAGTGCACTAACGGGCAGCGGCTGGTGCTGCAGTAAAAGGCTGAGGTTGGCAGTGGAGGCCGCAAGCGGGTCGGCTCTTACCTGACCACCTGCAAAAATGACAGGGGTGGAGGCGGGCTTTGGGCGATAGGGAATGGTGGCACCTTTCGGTGGGGACTAGGAAAAGGGACAAGGAGAGGGAGAGAAAACATTAGAACAACTTTCCTGCAATATTAGTAAAGAGAAAGTGTCATTGAAATACATCATTGAACACAACAATACAACAAATGCTATAATACAATCCTTGTCCTGCAGTTTTGCCATGGGACATTAAGTCCTTTAATTATTTTGAAAGAAAAAATGTTGGTACCAGAAAACTATGATTTCTACACAAGAGCATAAAAGGCAAATAATAATTTGATAGGTGGAAAAAAAAACTATTCTCAAATTAAATTAGGCGAGGAATTCTTTTCTCCCCTAAAGTTGTTATACCTTCTAAACTTAACCGCATTCAGTCCCCTACATTCACTATTCCATAATTTCCCTTTTTATTTTTTATTTCTCTTTTTATCTATTTTTCCCTAAGTTTCTGTTTCTGAGAAAATATTTACAATAGCAGCACTCTTGAAATTCCATTGAAAAACCCAACTGTTCAGAAATAAGTGGCAATAGAAAGATTTTGTTATTAGGTCTACAACTGAGATATTACAAAGGTAAATCTACAGCCCAAGCACTTAGTTTCTTTAGGAAGACATAAGGAGCCGAGGTCTAACTGGACATTCTAAGAGTGATATGTTAAAAGTAATACTAATGCTGAGAACAGTAAAATGCCATTTAACAAGTTAGATTTGTGCACAGAATCTTACAAATGTTGTCCCACAGAGGGTTAGACATTAACCAGGTTCTCAAAGGAAAATAAAAGAAAAGTATTTTAAATAAAATTCACATATGAAATTATTTTTACTAAACTCAATGGTAAAAAAAATTCCCTGGAATTGTTTCCTTGTTTCTACAAAGAAATGCCATGAATCTATCATGAACACTTTCAGTGATGTTACTGTAGCGGTGAATGGATTCACTTAGGAGCATAAGAGATGTAGTCCTTCCCCTAACTGCATAGGAGGTATAGAACAGGTAGCAACTGTGTAGACTTCACATACACACAAGCCTCCCCAAGCAATATGCTCAATGAAGGGCCATCTCTAGATTGCCAAGTAATAAATTTAATCTCCCAGCCTACTTGGCTAATGGACTATATGATCACATTGCTAAAATGGATGCTGCCTCATGGCAGCATGGTGGTGGTTTTGTGACATAGAAGTCTGCTTGGTCCTGACATTTCCCATCATGGAACGAGAATTGCAAGAACAACTGGGGGGCAAGGTTATGGCTGGAATGACATGTGGTTACAGCCAACAGTGAAGTTTAGCATCAGCAGCTCTTGGTCTTCTTGGGCTCCTGTACAATATGTTGGAAGCTGAATGCAGTGTAAGAGCTGTTGTTGTGCTAGTGACAGAAAGGCAAAATGGAGCCATAAATTAACACACCGTTGGGAGGACTTTTCCCAGACATACATGCTTCCTGGCTTTCCATCCTGCCAGAAGTCCAAGCTACTCACCCATTCAGTTTGCTGCCTTAGCCTGATCCATTTGTTGAGATGTGAATGCCTGAGCTACATCCTGTGACTATTAGCTTGAATGGTGTTTTTATACATGTATGTTGGATTATGTCTTTTCACTCTATGCTGGGTTTCTCATAAACAAATAATTGTTATGCATGAAATAAATCTCTTGAAAGCTCTTCCTGTGACATTTCTTACAGAGATCTTAGTGTATATTATAAATATATAGACACTACTGTCTGAAGTGTAAAAATATCAAAAACCTCACAATAAATATTAACACAGAAAAGATAAAATCCACCAAATGAACTACACTATTTCAAAAGTTTCTATAAGTGTGTGTGTGTACATGGATGTGTACACATGTGTACATGCACATACACATATATTCCATATATGTATGTGCAAAAATATGCTTTTTCTCATAGTGTATTAGCAATGCAGGAAAAATTAGTGTGTTATTTCTCAGATAACAAAAGGATTCAGGATGATAGTGAAAATCACTGTAAAATACTAAAACAAAACAAATGTTAAAAAAATAGCTAATATTATTAGTATTAGTAATTAATATTACCATTATTAGTGAGCCAAAACTTTAGAGCTAAAGCAAATTGGCAACTCTTCTTAAAGTTAGTCAGAACTTCAGAATGTCAGCACTTCACAGCAGCTAGCAGCAGACATATACCTATTATACATCTTTATATATTATTATACATGTGTATGGAGTTATTACTTTCAATACACTGCAGTCATTTCACTTATACACCAAAATGGCACTGGCATTTTCAAGGATAATATTACTCTCAACTAGCAATAAAGACCAAACACTACATGTGTCACTTAACAATTACCATTGCATCTTTGTCCAACAGCATGGATTTTTATCTACTACTATGAAATGTAGAGGTTAACCAAATTCCTTTCTTTTCAAAGTACTTGTGGCATCTTTCCTGACCTAGTCTGCAAGTATTTAAATGTCATTGGTCACAACCAAGCATTTGGTTCCTTGTTCTAAAGCCTCACAATAAGATATGCATCTCTTCAAGCCAATGAAGGGAAGAGTGGCTGTTTTGCTTATGTCACAGGAATGCATGCAGTTCTCATTGGAGGTAGGAAATGAACTTGTGTCAGGCAGCCTTCAAGAGGGGGTAAAGGGATGCAACATTGCAGAAATGTCTTCTGTGTTAGCTAGCTGCATGTGTCCAAGGAGCAGGATCCTTCCTCACCTTGAGAGTATTATGATTGCATTTGATTCGGGGGCTTGTTGTGACATTAAGACAGCACACAGCAGATCAACACAGCACACTGCTCTCAGTAATTGTCTGTGATAAATGGCATTTCATCCCCTAAACTGTGCAAACTCTGGCATGTGAAAAATACCAGTTCCTGCCTTCTCTTGCATGAAAATTCAAAAGTGACCATATCACTCCATTCCATGCTAGTCCCATTCATTTCAGGGTTTGTTCCAAAATGACTTCTCCCACCAAAAAAACCTGGTTTTCAAACACTTCAAGGGTTTGCCTCAGCTCATGTCAAACATTTTATTTCTCTCTGTGCCCACACTCTTCTCTCTGCTTTTCTAGCTCTAGCCTTTCTTTCTGTGTCACTCCATAAAAGGCCTCCTAATTTCTAAAGTAACCTTCATGTGACTCTAGACATGACCCAGTAGAAAATATCTTATTTCAGATTTCATTGTATTTCAACCCCTAACACTATAAATAATAATGGAATGCACTGCTGAGTGAAAGTTCATGATATGGGTTTGAAAGTAACAGTACCAGGAAACTACCACAATCCAATAACTGGTGGCGAACAATAACAAACATGACTACTCCAGGGTTTTCATTGTCATTTTGGTTGTAGATAATTTTTTCCTATATACTTTACCCCCATTGTTACAGACTGTACCTCCAGCATCACCACACAGATCTGTTTGACACACTGGATAATTGCATCGGGGGTTCCCGAGATTGTCACTGCCCGCTCTGTGGAGTTGGGCAGCATGTCCCCCGCCACTTGAACCTGAGCACCTGTTGACTGGAAAAAGCAGAAAGAGGGAGAGAGAAAGGGAGAGAGGGAGAACAGCAAAACTGAATGTGTGGCAGCTATAAAAGAAAACATCCAATGGTCTATTTCTTTGCAGCCAGCTCTAACTTTAGCATGTTCATTTCTGGTGTGTTAAATGGGTTAATAATTCTTTGTTTGCACATTTTATGCGACTGCTGCTGTCCTTTCCTGTGCCGCTCTACATAACAGTGGGCAGATATTGCAATATTCCTCCTCTTTCGAAGCCAAATATAATACCATGTTACTACTGGCAGGAACCCATGTCACTTGCACAGGTTCTGGTGGCAACTATGTTGCTGAACACAGATACTGCTGGTGATGCATTATGCATGTAGATACTAACTCCTGAAGCTGCAAAATCAGCGCCATGCAATTGAAAATGTGGCTTTAATAAGTTACATTTATAATTAGTTAAAAAAAAACAAAGGGTAAAAAAGGTCTGTATTACCTCCCTGATTTCCTTAATCTTGGAGCCCCCTTTGCCAATCAGTGACCCGCACTGGCTAGCAGGCACAACCAACCTCAGTGTTACTGGTGGTTTACTGGTAGCAGTGCTGTTGCTCATTGAGTTGATTATGTCCTTTAGAAGGGGAAAAAGGAAAAAAAAACAGAGTTAAGTATTCTACTTTACAATTACTATCTAAACTGGCTTAAATACATGGGCAAGTTAATGTTAAACCTTGCCTAAAACTCTGTGGTGATCACCTCGTGCTGTTAAAAATAGAAAGCATGACAGTCAACTATTTCCATAGCTGCATAACTATGTATGTCAAACATTTGCAAGGTGCCAGTCAGCATTTTGTACTGGCTGCCCATAGACAGTACTGTACCCTTTATTACAGTGGTTCTTACTCTTTTGGCCCTTTGGACTAGGATAACTGATGCGGGACTAGTGTCTCATGGGGTTGACATGCCAAGTTGGGTCTCTTGTGCCCAGACCAGCCCATGCACTGCCTTGACCCAGCCCCATGCACCCAAACTGCCCATGCTGCCTTAGCTTGGCCCTGTGTGCCTGGATCGGGCTCCATACTGCTCAGCCTGGCCCTGTTCCACCCCAGCCCCATGCACTCAATCTAGTGCACAGGGCCATGCCACCTGGCCTGCAGCAATTAACACCTTCACCACTCCCCCAACACCAAATTTTTGGACCTGGGAGAAGCCACAAGGACCATATGACAATTCTGCAGGCTGGATCTGGCCTACCAGCTAGGGGTTGAGCACTCCTGCTTTAGCACAGCTGTTTGTAATGCTTTCCCAACTCATACTGAAGGCATCATTCCTTTTGGTCAACCAATTTGGTGCTTCAGGGGCAGAAAGTGTTGGTGTTATTCACGTGAATGCAATATAACACAGTTCCACCAACGCACTAAGATCATTACTTGAAACGCACAAAAGTTTTGGGACATCTAGGACTGCATGCTTAGCTTATTTACCATAAATTGCAGCCCTCAAATGCCACGAGATCTTTAAAGTATATGAAAGTCTACAAAAATGTTAAAATACTTCCACTGATCTAAGTTCATCATGGCTAAAAAGTCACCGTGTGATAATGATGAAGCATGTTACATTAGAAACCTATTCTTGGGAATATTTAGGACACATTTTCACAGTCTCTCCCTGTGCCACCTAAAATTAAGTACAAGATCTCCCAGGATGAACCTCAACTCTTTTCTAGCTAGAGATATAAGGACACAGTATAAGCTATTCTATTGAGCAATAGGAGAGACGTTGATTGCTATATGTTAGCATATTTCCATCAAGCATACAGATATTTCATTCTTATACCCATATCAGGCTGTCCTACGGAGATTTTACCAGGAACCATTCAGGTCCAATTAAGGGAGTTGAATTTGCTCTTCACCCCAGAAGGCTACACATAGTAAATCTTTACACTTGACAATGAAAAAGTCAAAGAGAATTGAATTAAATTTGATGAAAACCCCAAGGGAGATGTCACACTGACGAAGTTAAAAAAAGTGACTGTGTAATGCAAAGTGATGGGATCTCCCAAAGCACACACCACCTTCAAATTATGCCTTGTTGAAGCAATTTTCCTGAAGAATAAAGCTTTTCACACCCTCAAAGGAAAAGGCCACTCTTCATACCATCAAATGTCCAATCCACTGTAAATACAAAGCATACAACCCTTTCATGTGCAGTGATTCCTATGTCTGCCTTTTCCATTTGGTGAGTGAGCACAGAAGTGAAAAGGAGGTAGGTGGGTCTAGTGCACTAAACTGGAACTCAGGGCACTTGGCTTCTAGGCCCAGCTCTGTAACTGGTCTGTGACTTTAGATAAGTCACTTTCCCTCTCTGTGTGACTTCATTTCCCCATCTGCAACACGGGATAAAAGAGTCTGACATCTGCTATTGAAAGTGCAATGTAACAGTGAGCTACAGTATTCTTAAAAATCCTGTATTGATAGTCTCAAAAATTCACTCATCTCCCCCTTAAAAAGATGAGGGCAAGTACATCCAGCATCCATACAGGCCTATCTAGTCTACATTCGGGTACTTAAATCTTGGTTTTGACAGAACAGCTCTGAAAGGAGGAGGACAGGCAATTCCAATTTTTGTTTCTGTCCTCTTGGTCCTTTGCCTCTCTGTTAAGGCCACCTGGAAGAAAGTGGTTAGTCCTGTACATTGCAAGAAAGCTACATTCCTTGCTGCTAAGAACTGGGCCGAACTGAATGACTTCCTTGCTGCCAGGGTCCAGAAGAACCCCAAGCAGAACAAGCTTGTATATCCTTATAGAGGAAGCTGTGCCTGAATTCATTTGCTTCAGACCTCCCACCCATGGGCAACACTCCTTAGTGGACATCTCTTCTTTCTCCCCTCCCTATCGCTACCCCACATACAACCCTTCCTACTCACCATTCCCCCAACCCCACTTGTCCTCTCTACCTTATCTTTTCTTCTCTCCTTTTTCCTCAGCAACTTGTCCTCCTTATAAGACACCTGTCACAAGGTCACGTAGGTGCCTTGTGCCTGGAAAAGGGTTAAGAACAGCTGCCAATCACCAGGGCAGCTCAGCTGCCGGTTGCTGGGGCAACTATGTTGGTCAGGTGACCAGAAGGGGGCAGGGCCGGGCCCTTATAAACAGCCCAGGCCGGAGCCTGGCTGGCAGTTCTCTTCTGGCAGCCGGAGGAGCAAGAGCTTTGTAGTGGAACCGAGCTGAGGCGAGCAGACTGATAGAATGAGTAGCTGCATCATGGCAAGGGGGGAGAGAACCCTGACTAGGAGGTCTTACTGGAAGGCCAGGTGGGGCCTGGACTTTATGTTACAGCCAGAAGGCTTATGGTTGTGTTGTAGCCGGTTGGCTCATTGTTTTGTGTTCCTTGTTGGATATTGTTATCCTGGAGGACCGGGTGAGGCTGTAGGGGTGCGAGGAGGCCTCACAGAAGCTCCCCAGCATTTTGGGGGTTCCTAGTGCCCTGTGTGGGCGCGGCAGTCGTGCCAGGCACAGCACAGTTGTATGGCGCCGAGGCGGCGCAGCAGATGGGGGGATTGACCCCAGCCCTGGATGGGTGATAGGTGTGAGACCCGAGCAGGGGAGAGGACCCCGGCAAAGGGGCAGGGGGCCAGACAGGGCTTAGGCCACCTGAGCCTCACTGACGGCGCACCAGTAAGAAGCCTGAGGGTGGCTCGCGTCTGGCCACGAGAGAGAGGGGCCACACGAGCGGAAGCCCCGGGTGGGTGTTGCTAGGGAGATGAGCCCGGCGAGGGTGAGTCAATGATTAGAAAGAGCCCAGCAAAAGCGGAGGGAAGCCGCAGGAGCGGGTGTGGATGTGAGAGAAGCCCAAGGGAGGGCGCACATGAAGGAAGCCCCAGAAGGGGGCACATCTGATTGATAGAAACCCCAGTTGGAGTGCAGACTGGGCAGAGTCCCAGAGGGCTCTACAGGGGTGGGACCCCGAAGGGTCACAGGGGCCAGGTAAGACTCAGGCCGCCTGAGCCCAACTGGAACAAGTACTATTAGTAAGCCCAAGAGGGCTAACGACTAGAGGGGCGCCGGTTGCGTGACGAGCCCAGAGGCGCTAGGGAAGGGGCGCCGGTTGCGTGACAAGCCCAAGGGCACCTGGCAGGGTGCGGAGAGGAAAGGGACCAGATAACGTCCGGAAGAGCTGCAAGGCTTGGGGCGTGCTAAAGGGGAGGTAGGAGGCACGCATAGCCCATAAGGCTGGGGTGCACCAGGTCACCCCATAGAGAGTAGGAGCCCAGATAGTTATAGCACCATGTCCAGGTGGACTAAAGGCAGCCTCCTATATAAAACTATAAACCAACAAGACGTGGTGGGCGAGAATAGAGGGTGCTGGATCGCCTATTTGACATGGCAGGGGGGGCACTAGCGAGACCACGGCCGCTCCTGCGCCCTACTCCGTGACAGCACCTCTTTGACTGTTCTGGAGGGGCTGCATGGTGTCATCTCAGAGCACCTTCTCCAGCATCACAGCCCATTGGCTCCTCACAGCAGCAGCAACAGACTGCACAGGGAAAGTGTGTAACACCAGTGCAGGCTGGCTGAGCAAGCATTTCTGTCCTGATCTCACTGCCCAAAGCCCAGGCCTAAAATTTTGTGCTACCTTCCCTGCCCCATTCCAGTAACATTACATCAGTCTCTTGACATTGCAGCATAATGTTGTAACACTGCCACATGACAATGCCATGGGATTCTGCATTCTGAAATGTAGCCACAGGAATGCACTAAACATCTCCACTTGGCCTGCAGTTATTTTCAGAAGACATTAATGGACTTGGCAGCATTTGAGACAGTACCAATCTCAGCTTGAACACTGTCTATTAAAATCTGCTCAGTAATCTTCCTCCAAAGAGGAAGGAATAACATTTTTCACCTCCTCAAACTTGTAAGCAATCATGGCAAAAGCCTTGAAAATGGCGTCCGTGGGGCCTGTGATGGTCACAATTCTTTCTGGACAGTTTCCTTCTGAGATGTTGATTCTTGCTCCACTCTGGGGGAAAAAAAAGAAAAAGGAAAGAAAATCTTCTCATGCCCTTTAATCATCCATCAGTTTGCAGAGGGGTAAACTTAAATCTCAGCTATTGACAAAGAGGAAAATGCAAGATGTGATTCCATTACCTCAGCTCTCTTCTTACCCTGTACCCATGTGTGCTGCCAATGACGCCACACCAGTGGAAGGATGCTCTGGTGGCATGTGATCTATGACCATGGCTTTAGTTCACACATTTTAAAAGAAACTTTTATACTGATGTGATATGTTAGTATACAAAGAACATGAAGTCCTTAGATAAACGCACTTCTAATGCAGATTACTTGGTTATATTATCAAGTCTTTATTTAGGCAAACTCCCCCTGGGTTCAATGGAGCCTTGCTTGAGTGCAGACTACATAAATATGGATGAAGGTTCTCTGGACACGGCCTGCTTTTATTATCTGCTTACATCCTTCCTAACAGGTGAATGATCTTTAAAACTGATTAAGTACCTAATTACACATTGTCTCAGACCGAACTGGTGCCAGAGGACTGGAAGAGGGCCAACGTGGTTCCCATCTTCAAAAAAGGGAGGAAGGAGGACCTGGGAAACTATAAGCCAGTTAGTCTTACCTTGATCCTGGGTAAGCTTTTTGAGAGAATTATTCTGGCACAAGTCCACGAGGGGCCAGCAGGGGAGATTATGCTTAGGGGCAACCAACATGGGTTCATTAGAG